CAGTGATTCCACTCTGTGACTTGGTCGTCCACTTCATGGCTGAGTTGCTGCTGTTCCTAAATGCTTCCAGTTTCCAATAATTCCACTTACAGTTGACCAAGGGATATCTAGCACTAATGAAATCTCAAAGACTTATTGCATAGGTGGCATCCTATAGACAGAATCACTCTTGAATGCATTGAGCTCTTCAGAATGACTTATTTCACCCCCAAATGTTTGTAAATGCAGACTGCATGGCTGGGTGCTTGGTTTTATACACCTGTTGCAAACACGTGAATTTAATGATTAAGAGAATTGTCCCTATATTTTTGTCCATGTAGTGTGTATGTGTGCAGGTTTGTGTCTGTAAATCTATATGGGATTTTGTCTATAAATATAGGTACGTGAGAGAGACAAAAAAATAAGTAAGGCACCTGCATATATGTGTGTTGGTTGTCAGTTTATCTACACTGGCAGACATTTTGTGTTAAGATAGAAATTAAAAATATATACTGTAAGTCACAATTAAAACAGAGGTGACTCCATTTTGTAACAGAATACAAAAAGACAGACTTTTTTTTCTCTATATACTCTATTCAGCATTGAGCAGAGCAATGCGTCTAATGTAAACATTGGCAGATATAAGACATGATGTTGGCAGCAGAAGGGGGGTTTAAAATGAAACAACCATAGAAACACATAAATAAATACATATATATCCACATATAACTAACTATAATTATGTTTAATTATATTTAAATAGTAATAGTTAATAATATTAGAATATTCATGGATGTAATATCAATGAAGAAATACCATATTATTTACTAACGTTAGTGGAATATGTGTAATAGACATGTATAAATCACATGTGTAATTACTTAGTGCTACACACAGTTTCACACAAGAAAACCAGACACAGAATTAGGAAGATGACAGATAATACTAAAGTAATTAATTTACTTTTTTATTATTAAGGATCTGATACAAATTTCCATTGTAAGGAAGGGTGAATTTAAGACTACAGGTGTCAAAATTCTAATTTTATGACACCAGACAGTAAGTCTGGGAAATGAAAGAAAAGCCTTTGAAGTCTGACAGATTTGATGGACGGTTATCCATAAAACATAAACAGGATGACATCAAATGCATCACGAAATTCAGTTAACCCATTGTGGCGGAACATACCTCGCCACGTGTTCTTGGAGGGGGCTGCTTGCCCGCCTCCTACCTTCTGACTATGGCCCTGGGATATATGGCATTTGAAACCACTATTTGTGCCCTGTGACAAAACTGGAGATTGTGCACAAATATGACTATTGTCCATGTTTTTTGTGATTCCCTTCGTTTGCTGCACTATTCCCCATGTGTTTCATCTGTTGGTCTGGATGGATAGACTACCAGACAAACTGTGGAGTTACTGGGTGGCCACCTGTAACGGAACCGCTGGCACCCCGACCGGGTACCTTCCGCCGACGGATGCTCCTAGTGCTTTCCGAGGACTCCAAGCACTCTGCCTGACACCATAACCACTGCAGACCCCACGAACCGCCGCAGCTTGGTTGGGGACTCGCCGTCTCCACCCACTCTGGACCCAGGACCAGGGTCCAGCTTCCAGCAGGTCGACCTCTCTCCGAATTCCAGAGAGCAGGAACAGGAACAAGCTCTTAGCAGAGCTTAGTGATTATACCCTGGGGAGTATAGTGATTATAGCAATCCCCAGAGTGTAGTTTCTCCAATCCCCCAAACATGAGCCGAAACTTCATGAAGGTACAAGATGATCTGACTCCAATGAGCGTTTATTACTTCTTATATACAAGTTTTCAGGTCAGAGGCACACCCCCTGGAACTGGTGGTAAACTGTGACAAAAGGGACACAAACCAATGGGAACACTAATTAACATGATAACACTCTCACATACACAATGAAATCCCTCCTCTCCATCCTGGAGATAATTGGCTTAAGGCACTGCAGTAAACTCAATTATCTCCAGGTACAGAAAATATCTACATTTAACACTAACAGCAAAATACGTAAAAGTACATAAAAATACATAATTCTTATTTTATTACACAGAACCCCCACATTTAACCTATCCCCAGATAGCTCGGATCTGAGCGCCCAATCTAGGTGAACAATAGACAGGAAACGGGGGAGGGGAAGAAACACACCTTCCCATGGATTCCAATGGGAAGAAACTGTCTTTAGAAGCCAATAAGCCCCAAATAGTCTTTTTAAATGGCAATACACCCCAGGGCCATAGTCATGAGGAAGGAGGCTGGCAATCAGGCTCCTCCAAAAGCCGGGGGCAAAGGGCAGCTTGTCACCTAACAATCCAGGGACAAAAGGCATTTCGTCACACCACCATTTCATGTATCAGAGGCACATGGTGAGAACAATGGATGAAGCACATGGTGAGAACAATGGATGGCGGCCATTTTAACTCAGACACTGTTTGGACTTTTCTACACAGTGCCATCTCGCCGGTATTTGGGGCACAAAGACATCGTGCAGTAGTTTTAAACTATACAACAGGGGACACATTATACAGTAATTATTTTTCATATAGCCTGTATATGTTCTGCGGAATCTGCATTAAACTGTGTAACGAAATCCCTTATTAAACAGACCATGTGAACCAGCCTGTTCGGTTATTTGGATGGTTACAGAGTGATTTCGTGCAAACAGCGAGAAAAACAAATAAACTACCAAACCACCCGACCTCCCACTGAGGTCGTGTGGCGCCTATTAACCACCCAGACTGTTGCGGTTAACCACAGACTAATTGGGGAATAGCTGGTGGTCTGCGTTCGTTTACCGAACACGTGGCAATCGCCATTTTGGATTCTCAAACGCTCAGTGGTAAATGGCGAGGATTCCCTGGAACTAATTTCGGCTACTTATTTTGTCGAACACCGCTGCTACCTCTTCAAATCCTCGTTCGTACGGTGGAAAAACACACGAATGAAGGAGATACTGCTTCATTCGTGCGCTGGAAGTATGCGAAAGTGACCGACCCCAGATAGCTAGAGTATGGAACTTGTAGTCGGCTACAAACACACGAACGGCCGGCGAAAGCCAAACTTCAGTCGACGTTTCTGAGAACTGTGTTCGTGGGATCTGAGCGCTATTCGCCTAGAATATGCACTCAGATCCAAGCTATCTGGGGATATGTGGAACTTAAAGTTTATGTTATGTAAAATGAAAGTTATAGATTTTTATGCTGTTTTGCTAAAATAAGAAAAGCCATGTTTCTTTCTACCTGGAGATAATTAAGGCTCTCTTTGCTACCTTAAGTTAATTATCTCCAGGATGGAAAAGAGGGAGTGATTTATGTAAAAGGGGAGTGCTTATACTATAGCCACTGTGATTGGCTATTGTGATACTTTTGTCCCAGTCTTCCATCTGGTCCCCTAGGGGAGTGTCCACCAGGTGGGAGACCTGCATAAATACCGGGCGGGTAGCCCACAGTAAATCAGATCGTTTTACCCCTTCATGAAGTCTCGACTCATGTTTGGGGGATTGGGAGTTATAATCACTTCGTTTCAGCTGGATTTCGGGAGAAGCTGCAAGGATCATCGTTGCACGAATAGAAGGATCCTTTACAAACTGTATCTCCCAAACTACTGAATGGATCTGGGTGAATTTTGGATATACTTTTTATGGGGTTATTGCATGCTTTGGGCTCCCTGTGATATGTTTTATAATACTGTATTGCTCTGCCTGTGATAATTATATTAACCATTGTGTTCAGTAATCATATCACAAGCAGAGGGGAGGATTTTGTGTGGGAGTGTCTGTGTGTATTGTACGGATTGATTGGCTGTATTTCAAAACCCTGTGGGCAGTACTATGTTTGTGGATTGTGAATAAAAGAGGCTGTATGTGCCAGTACAGTCAGTTCTGCTTGACTTCAAAACGAAGTGTCGTCTCGTTATTGGGGGAATTGGATTGTAAGCTGATTGCCAGGAGTGTAAGCTGATTATATGCTTTTCCTGTTCAGCTGTTTACAGCATTCAATGCTTGAGAGCATTCGTATGCTTCTCCGGTTCGGTGGTTGTGGTGTCTGCTGTAGTGCTTGGAGTCCTCAGGAAGCGCTAGGAGCAGGGGCGGACTGAGAGACTTTGGGGCCCCCGGGCAAAATTAGATCCCAGGCCCTTTGAAGGCCAAATATATGTGCATTAAATAAATGTTAAATATAAGTCATAATACAGCATTCCTTTGGATGTGTATATTGTGAAGACCTGTGTATCAATGCATATTTGTATTTGAGTCTGTGTGAATGCACTTGTGCATGTCGGGATGACTACATGTGCTTTTTTGTATATAGTGTCTGTGTGAATGCATATGTGACAGGTGACAGTGTGTGAGGGAGAAGGTGACAGGTGGAAGAGTGTGGGAGGTTGTGACAGGTGGCAGAGTGAGGGGGTACTTGGTGGCAGAGTGAGGGAGGGAGGGGTTGAGTGGTGGCAGAGTGAGGGGGAGACACAGTAAGTGGGGGTGACTAGTGACATAGGGAGGGAGAGGGGGTGACTAGTGACAGAGTTAGGGAATGGGTGACTAGTGGCAGAGTGAGGGAGGGAAAAGATGACTAGTGGCAGAGTGAGGGAGGGAAGGGGTGACTGGTGACAGAGTGAGGGGATGACTGGTGACGGAGTGAGGGAGTGACTAGTGACAGAGGGAGGGAGTGACTAGTGACAGAGGGAGGGAGGGGGTGACTGTCACTAGTCACTCCCTCCCTAACTGTCACTGTGTCACCCGCTCCCTCACTCTGTCACTAGTCACCCCCTCCCTCACTCTGTCACTAATCACCCCCTCTGACAATAGTCACCCTCTTCCACACTCTGTCACTAGTCACCCCATCCCTCTCTCTGTCACTAGTCACTCCCTCCCTAACTCTGTCACTGTGAAGGAAGGAAGGGGTGACTGGTGATAGAGTGAGGGGATGACTGGTGACAGAGTGAGGGAAGGGATGACTAGTGGCAGAGTGAGGGAAGGAAGGGATGACAGGTGACAGAGTGAGGGAATGACTGGTGACAGAGTGAGAGAGGGGGTGACTAGTGACCGAGTGAGGGAGGGAGTGGGTGACTAGTGACAGAGTGAGGAAGGGGGTGACACAGTGATAGTCACCCCATTCCTCCCTCTGTCACTAATCACCACCTCCCTCACTCTCACTAGTCACACCCTCCCTCTCTCTGTCACTAGTCACACCCTTACTCACTGTCACTAGTCACACCCTTACTCACTGTCACTAGTCACACCCTCCCTCCCTCTGTCACTAGAGTGAGGGGGTGACTAGTGACAGAGTGAGGGAGTGAGGGAAGGGGTGACTAGTGGCAGAGTGAGGGAGGGGTGACTAGTGACAGAGTAAGGGGATGACTGGTGACAGAGTGAGGGAGGGGGTGACACAGTGACGGAGGGAGGTGGTGACTAGTGACAGTCACCCCCTCCCTCACTCTGTCACTAGTCACCCCCTCCCTCACTCTGTCACTAGTCACCACCTCCCTCACTCTGTCCCTAGTCACCCCTTCCCTGCCTAACTGTCACTAGTCACACCCTCCCTCACTCTGTCACTAGAGTGATGGGGTGACTAGTGGCAGAGTGAGGGAAGGAAGGCGTGACTAGTGACAGAGTGAGGGGATGACTGGTGACAGAGTGAGGGAGGTGGTGACTAGTGACAGAGTGAGGGAGGGGGTGACACAGTGACGGAGGGAGGTGGTGACTAGTGACAGTCACCCCCTCCCTCACTCTGTCACTAGTCACCCCATCCCTCACTCTGTCACTAGTCACCACCTCCCTCACTCTGTCCCTAGTCACCCCTTCCCTGCCTAACTGTCACTAGTTACACCCTCCCTCACTCTGTCACTAGAGTGATGGGGTGACTAGTGGCAGAGTGAGGGAAGAGGTGACTAGTTCCAGAGTGAGGGAAGGAAGGGGTGACTAGTGACAGAGTAAGGGGATGACTGGTGACAGAGTGAGGGAGGGAGTGGGTGACCAGTGACAGAGGGAGGGAGGTGGTGACTAGTGACAGAGGTGGTGACTGTCACTAGTCACCATCTCCCTCACTCTGTCCCTAGTCACCCCTCCCTCTGTCACTAGTTACCCCTTCCCTCCCTAACTCTGTCACTAGTCATTATTCTCCCTCACTCTTCCACTAGTCACACTCCCCACCTGTCACCAGAGTGAGGGGGTGACCAGTGACAGAGTGAGTGGAAAAAGTGACTCTGTGGCAGAGTGAGGTGCTGTAGCAAGGACTAGTAACAGCAGGAGGTGGTACTGTCACTTGTCAATAGTGTTTTCCCTTTCACTCTGTCACTGTCACTACCTCCCCCATCACTACTCCCTCCTTCCTTTCTTAAACATTAGTCACTCCCTCCGTCTCATTTAACACTAGTCACCCCTCACCTGTCACTAGTCATCTCTCTCCTTCTGTCACAGAGTGAGGGAGGGTGTGACTAGTGACAGAGTGAGGGAGGGTGTGACTAGTGACAGAGAGAGGGAGTGTGTGACTAGTGACAGTAAGGAAGGTGATGACTAGTGACAGAGTGAGAGAGGGGGTGACTAGTGACAGAGTGAGGGAGGGAGTGGGTGACTAGTGACAGAGTAAGGAAGGGGTGACTAGTGACAGAGTGAGGGGATGACAGGTGACAGAGTGAGGGAGGTGGTGACTGTCACAAGTCACTAGTCACCACCTCCCTCACTCTGTCCCTAGTCACCCCTCCCTCTGTCACTGGTCACCCCCTTCCTCACTCTGTCACTAGAGTGAGGGGGTGAACAGTGACAGAGTGAGGGAAGGGGTGACTAGTGGCAGAGTGAGGGAGGTGGTGACTGTCCCTAGTCACCACCTCCCTCACTCTGTCACTAGTCACCACCTCCTTCTGTCACTAGCCACCCCCTCCGTCCCTTACCCTGTCACTAGTCACCCCCTAACTCACTCTGTCACTAGTCGTTCCCCTCTCTCACTCTGTCACCAATCATTCGCTCACTCTATCACCAGTCACCCCGTCCTTCCCTCACTCTGCCACTAGTCACCCCTTCCCTCACTCTGTCACCAGTCATCCCCTCACTCTAGTGACAGAGTGAGGGAGGGTGTGACTAGTGACAGAGTGAGGGAGGGTGTGACTAGTGAGGGAGGGGGTGACTAGTGACAGAGTGAGGGAGGGTGTGACTAGTGAGGGAGGGGGTGACTAGTGACAGAGTTAGGGAAGGAAGGGGTAACTAGTGACAGAGGGAGGGGTGACTAGGGACAGAGTGAGGGAGATGGTGACTAGTGACTAGTGACAGTCACCACCTCTGTCACTAGTCACCACCTCCCTCCCTCTGTCACTGGTCACCCACTCCCTCCCTCACTCTGTCACCAGTCATCCCCTCACTCTAGTGACAGAGTGAGGGAGGGTGTGACTAGTGACAGAGTGAGGGAGGGGGTGACTAGTGACAGAATGAGGGAGGGGGTGACTAGTGACAGAGGGAGATGGTGATTAGTGACAGAGTGAGGGAGGTGGTGACTGTCACTAGTCAACCCATCCTTCCCTCTGTCACTAGTCACCCACTCCCGCACTCTCACTAGTCACCCCATCCCACTGTCACTGTGTCACCCCATCCCTCCCTCTGTCACTAGTCACCCCATCCCTCCCTCTGTCAATAGTCACCCCATCCCTCCCTCTGTCACTAGAGTAAGTGGGTGACTAGTGACAGAGTGAGGGAGGGGGTGACTACTGACAGAGTAAGGGAGGGAAGGGGTGACAGAGTGAGTGAGGGAAGGGGTGACTAGTGACAGAGTGAGGGAGGGGGTTACTAGTGACTCAGTGGGGGGGTGACTAGTGACAGTAGGGGGGTGACTAGTGACAGTGACGGGGGTGACTAGTGACACAGTGAGGGGGTGACTAGTAACACAGTAGGTGGGTGACTAGTGACAGTGAGGGGGGGTGACTAGTGACTGTGAGGGAGGGTGACTAGTGACTGTGAGGGGGGTGACTGGTGACTGTGAGGGGGGGTGACTAGTGACTGTGGGGGTGACTAGTGACAGTGTGTGGGGGTGACTGGTAGGCAGGGGGTGACTAGTGAGCGGTGGGGGCTGACTGAGTGTGGGGGTGACTAGTAGCGGGGGTGACTGAGTGACCCAGGTGGGGGTGACTGGTGACAGGGGGTGTTGATTAGGACGGGGAGGGGGTGATTGGGGGAGCCTGCACTGTGGCTACTCTCTGCTCTCCTGGCTGCCAAAATTCCCTGGCTGGGCTCTGTGTGAGGAGGTAGGCAGGAGTGATGTCGCTGTCCCTCTCCCATCACACAGAGCACCGCGGGACTGGGAGAAGGAGACCTGGCAGGGAGCTGCTGAAGCTGCCAGGTCTCATAGGGGGTGATTTACAGGGCAGTAGGTTGTGGGGCCCCAAGCTGCATCAGGGGCCCCACAACCTATAAATGAAATAGTTTTATTTTTTTTAATTTTGCCGTTCCAGTTGGAGAGATCTCTGATCTCTCCAGCTGGAACAAGGCTGTGCTGCCGGGCCCCTGACTGCCTCGGGCCCTCGGTCCATGACCGATATGCCCGAGTGGTCAGTCCGCCCCTGAAGGGTATACTATGCAGACTATGCAGACAGCACCCTGAGCTTGGCATAAATGCATCTAATGATGCGCTTGCTCAACGCTTTCTAAGGACTGTCCCCTAGCACTCGCTGGTCCACTTGTCTCCTTACCTTCTTACTAGCAGGCAGAAGCTCCTGGTATATAGTCTGGGACAGAGAAAAGCTGTATGTAGTGAGTGTAGAAGAAAGGGAACATGCCACAGTGCTAGAGAGTCCAAAGTCAGCATTACCTTAAAGGATCACTATAGGGTCAGGAACACAAACATGAAGTCATGACCCTATAGTGTTAACACCACCATCTAGCCCCCCTGGGCCCCTCATGCCTCCTTAAATATAGCAAAATCTTACTGAAGCTGTAACTCTGCATGCTGTTAGACTCAGAAAAACAAGCAGTCTGCTCACATCATTAGAAGTGGTGGCCTAATCCAATCACAGTGCTTCCCCATAGGATTGGCTGAGACTGACAAAGAGGTAGATCAGGGGCAGAGCCAGCATGATTCAAACACAGCCCTGGCCAATCAGCATCTCCTCATAGAGATGAATTGAATCAATGAATCTCTATGAGGAAAGTTCAGTGTCTGCATGCAGAGGGAGGAGACACTGAATGTTTGGATGCATTTTAGGCAGGCATGACCCAGGAAGGATCTCTAACAGCCATCTAAGGAGTGGCCAGTGAAGTTATCACTAGGCTGTAATGTAAACACTGCATTTTCTCTGAAAATACAGTGTTTACAGCAAAAAGCCTGATGGTAATGATTCTACTCACCAGAACAAAATCAATAAGCTGTAGTTGTTCTGGTGACTCTAGTGTCCATTTAACTATATTCATTGTCAGCCAGTCC